GTCGCAACCCCAACTCCAATCAGAACTCGCAGTGAATTATTCAAACTCTGAACAGGTAAAAGCAGATGTTTTTCTCGGAAATCTTTATAAAGAACAATCTCAGAGTTTTGTGACAAACAACCAAATTGGATTCCGAATTGGCGTGGTCGGAATAGTAATCGGAGTTTGAATCGGAGCAAGAGCAAGAAGAGGAAGAAGCTGATCAAGAGACTCGTAGAAGCAATCGGTGTCTCCGTCGTATTCCTTGTTTTGGTTGCTCATGGTCGGCGGTGTGGTGAGGCCAGCGAAAGCATTCCTCCTCCTCCTCTTGGCCAGGGACAAGAGAAGCAAAAAAAACTGTATGCGTCTCCTTCTGTTCTGTGGCTTATCATCATGTTCGAGAAGTGATCCAAGTCCCCCACTCCGTAGTTGTTGTAGCCACGGTTTGAGTTGGCATAGTGGGTATGATGGTTCTGGTATGGTCTCCTCTGATGTGTAACCGGCATAGCGTGTGTATTGGCATGCGGGTTGAATGATGCTTGAAGAAATACATCTTTTTCTCTGCGTCTCCTTCTCACCCGAAATTTTCTCGGACCAGCGTTTTGATTCAGCAATGGTGAAACTCTACTTTCTCTTCTTATTTTTTCCTCTATTGTTTGTTTCCAGTTTTTCAATTTTGAGCTTGCTTCTCGATTTTTTAATTGTATTCGTCTCGGATTTGATAAGCTCACTAGATCTGGAGATGGATTTGTTTTCTCATATGTGATCTCTGAGATTTTGTGTTTATGTGATCTCTGAGATTTTGTCTTGTGCTTCGCTAAGTATAGAATCCAAAATCATGAAGAATCCAAAATCGATTTTGTGTCTTGATAAGAGCTTTGAAGATCGGAGTAGCCGTGGGTTTCGGTTTACTATTTCGTAATGGGGTTATTAATGGGTAAATAACAGTTTTGGTTTTTAATAAATTGGTTAACAGAAAAGTGGTCTACAATAAACCGAGTTTAAACGGATTTGGGATGAAATAAACGTTTAATGTTCATCCTGTGAGGAAATAAAGGTTTAATGTTTGTTATGTGGAAAAATAAGTGTGTAATGTTAGTTCTGGAGGGAAGTAGTACGGATTAGTTTTCCGGGTCTATCTAAAGAGATATGACACTTTTGGGGAGGAATGAGTACGTTTTCCCAATTTACACATTGTTCTTTTTCAAGTCACATATATTATAAAGCGTTCCAGCGAGCCGTTTACTGTGGGCACATATGGGTTTGTTCTATAAAACCTTTATAGGCAATCTGATCGGTAGTTTGGCTTTTATATTATTTTTTGTGTAGTGTCGGTTTACAATGTGTCTGCAAGGATAAAGCTGTTAACTTTCTTAGGCATTACCGTGTGAAGAAAGCATGTAACTTTATCTCTTGAGATTCTTCAAGGGTGATTTTATTCTCTTTCAAATTTCAGCCAAAAAGGTTCGTCTCGTTGGACAGCTACAAAACCCACTTGGTTTTCCTTCTTTTTTGCGACCTTCCATAATTTTTAAAAGAGGACTTTTTCCAGCTATCCCACTTTGTTTTTCGTTTCTTCGGTTCTTCTTTTCTTTAAGAATTAGAATTAGAATTTTAGTTTC